TTATTGATGAATAGTGATTTATGTCAATTGATAGATGGCGTTAATAATCGAAGACAATTAGAACAAATTAAAGATTATAGTTTAATAACCAAACAACAGTGATAAGTAGGTATTTATGCTTTTTAATTATCCGAGGATATAAATAAGTTTTTTTTATCAACAAACATAATTTTCTAGACCAGTGTGAAAGCCAAAAACTAACTCCTTATGATATTTCTTGCTGCTTTTAGAATATAAAAAGTCTGTCTTAATTGAATTCTAACAAAAAATCACACCAAAATGTAATATCAAATTCAGTCGATCTATTCATAACAGATACTATCATATCAGTGACCATCTCCATCTGAAAAACTATCTAAGATATAAAGAATTTGTAGTTCAGATATTGTTCTTTGTACCAAAAAGAATTTTTTTTACTTAGCTAAAAAGTCATAATTCCCATTCTAACAGAGTTTAACATTGATACATTTGTATCACAATGTTCTTTATAATAGAATATATATATATATGAATATAGTTATTATTATTTTCTAGATTTAGTAATACACAAAATATGTATTCATTTAAAATTCCTAAACAAATTCTAATATTACATACATTGCTAAATTTAGTATTATTAAGTACGGGATTTATGTATTCACTGAATATGAGTATTACGAACTGTATGGTTAATGATTTGCTAGGATACCCAGACAGACAAAACTCAAAAAAAACGGAGAAATACGGCGTACAAATTTTGAAATTTTAGCGAAAATAAAATCGGGAAAAGCGCACATTTTTACGATTTTTATCTCCGTTAGCTTTGTCTACTGTGATTAACGCGTTAAAACTCACAAAATAACGTGCAAAAACCACGTAGAATTCCGCGTTTCAACGAGTAACTACGGAGTAGATTTTAACGCAGTAGAACGCTTTCTAAATAATTGCGTAGAAACGCGTTAAGAATTCGTAAAAACGGCGTTTTTACGCTTTTTTTTAGAAGTCTTGTATGTCTGGGTAGTAAATGAAATGTATTCGTTTTGGAATCACTCGATAAAAAGTTTATTTATTATCTCATCATTACAATATATAATCAACCTGTTTAAAAGTTATGTGATCTAATATGAGAACTATTAGTCATTTTTCACAAATATTGAAAACAATATCTAGAAATATGGTTTCGGAGATGAAAACTCATTCACTGAGGAAATATATATTAAAATGACTATTCCATAGAATAATAGATTAAAAGAAAGCCCAGTACAACATACGATAAAATAATTCATTAATCAAACACAATTGTAGACATAGTAGAAATTAATGAAAATGATCACATATAGTCTGAATACTTAATATTCTTTGAAGATTTATATAATGTCTACCTACGTATATCATGCAAACGTAATACTATTATTAGAAATGTTTCATGTAAAAGAATTATTTATTTAAATACTAAAATTAATAATGAAAATGAGTGACATATCTCCGTCTTTATTCCACTTATGTATCTAATAATTGAAGTAAGTCAATGGTTCACCTAAAATAAAATAACAAATATTCTTTAGAATATTATCATGGTTAAATTTTCTCCGTTCTTTTTTTTGTACCTTCTGTAAAAACACAAGTTGCATTATTATGTCTGATAATTTCATGCAATGAATAAAAATCATATTTATTATGATTTTTATGTCGATGAATTCGCATATGAATAAATAAACCATCATCAATAGATACTTTTAAAAAATAATTTGTTCCATAAGCAACTTGTTCTTCAGCATATTGTGTAACTCTAAATATTTTAACTAAAAATTTTATTTAGAAAATAATTTCCCTAACTAACTTCCAATTAGCTATATGTTTTTCTCGATGTTCTTCTGTAAATGAATGAATCTTATGTTCATGATGTTTTCTATATAAAGCATCAATAGCTGCATATTTTATTTCCGGATGTTCACTGTAACGAAAAATAAATACTTATATTTACATTAGAATATAATTTACCTAATTTGTTGAATTTCAGGTGTTACATCCTAAGAAAAGTAGAAAAAAGAAATTTTTTGAATAATAATCTATATTGATTTCAACAAACCATAACAGGACCCATATTATTTTGCTGTTCATTCGACATAATTGTCTCTTAGTAAAAGATAAATATAATAATAAGTAAAATGCGTGTTTGTGCTTTTTCTGATAAGTAATCGTGTTAAGGAGAGTGCATGCTCGCCAATAGATAAGAGAACAGAAAAAAAAGGAGAAAGATGATTTGAACTCAACTAGCTGCTATATGTTTGCCAAAAGTAAGTGTCTTTTTTTTTCTTCTTCTTTTCTCTATTAAAGAAATAATATTGCTTTATATAGATATAAGATTTTTAATCTGTAATATAGCAGTGTGGTGTAAAATATTAATTAGAAACCAATGAATGTAACGAAAGAATGACAGTTGTATAGAAATTGTTTTTTTTCCAAAGTTATGAATGTGTAATTGGACCTAACGGAGACACGCTCGTTCTTGGAATTTCTATAAGAGAACAAGTAAACAACTTGATACAAACCTATTGAAAATTTTTTCTGGAAGAATTCTGTTTCTGTTTTATAAATGCATACTACAGAAATTTAGATTAAACACGTTCATTGTCATATTGGACAATATGACTAGAGTTCTATTAAATATTTATAAATTGTTCTTTTCTTTCTACTATAAGTGCAAAAATAAAAGTGTAATATGACATGACGTATGATTACGTTAACAATTCATTGATGTTTTTTGCACCTTTATACATGAGGGAAAAAAAAGATTCGTTTTCTGATCATATATATATAACGATACTAAAGTCAATAAAAATATCTCTAGATTTATTTATCAAATATAATAATACGCTTGGTAGAAAAAATAATAAAAATCTATCAATAATAAGATGGAATAGAATCACACGCATGAGGATCATCAGAACGAGCTGTTTTAAAATTACACAATAATCCTCGACGACAACTGCGATTACAACTAGTACCATTAGTATATGATTTTGTATAATACTGATATGCTGAACTCATTAATGAACCATCTATATCATTTTGCATTCGTTGTATAAGATTATCCCAATCGGCAGGAAATAAATTTTCCATTTTATAAGCATCTCGTGCTTCATATTCATTCAATAAAATTGTTCTATTATACATATTTGTTGCTGTTAAATTCATAATAACTGTACGATGATCAAGTACCCAATAGGAACTATTTTCATAAGCACCATCCATTGTATAAATACGATAACCTGGATTTAAAAATGATTGAGGAGTTAATGAAGGTGTTACATAAGCCTAAAATTATATATAATTAGAAAAAAGAAAGTGATAAGATTAAAAAGAAGTTTTTAACCATTGATACTGCTCGTTTTTTATCAACTTCATCATAAAACACAATAAATTCATCATTGTGTGTATGACCATAGAATTGACCAGCAATTGTATTCTCATATCTAACAAATGTATGAACAAAGAATGAAAGAAATATTTAAATCTTTTTATTACCGATTGATAATTTGATGAAAATTCCAACTAAACGCTGCTAAACAAGAACGTGGAGGATGATGTGCAATTATATGAACTTTCTCTCCATGATCTTCAGCATATTGTAACCATTGTATCATCTAAAATATATCAGTAAATATTTCTATAATTACTATTTTGTCTTATTGTCTAATCTTAAAACGAACCCATTGAAGTTGACCAAGTGGATCAGTAGCATTGACAAACAACCAGTAATTTTCCGGTGCACAATAATTCATATTGAGTGAAATTAATCGAAGACCAGGACGTACCATTGTTGTATAGAAAGCTCCACGTACAATACTTTCACGTGTATCAGCAGGTAAACCAAGTGTAGCCCAACTATCAGCTAATGCTTCATATAACCATGTAATATTATCCGTTCGGATGCTAGGTGTCGGATACATATTACAAGGTGCTAGAAATGAAACAAATGAAATGAAGAATAAATAAAAACAAACGACAATACCTGCTTCATGGTTACCAACTGCTGGATAAAAAGTTTTGTTAGAAAAAGTAGCAGCTAATAATTGATTAATAGTTGTGAGTGAATAGAGTTGGTCAGCGCGAGATTGATTCCAAACATTGTGAGGTGGTAGATCACCAGTATAATAGATAAAATCAATCTATGAATAGAATAAATTTACAACTATTTTCTTAAAAGAAAATTTTTTACGAATTTTATTTATATAACTTACATCTTCTTCTAATTCAGAAGCATATCTAAGAATACTTTGAGCAGTCCAGTATGGTAAATCACAATTACGATAATCACCCCTAAACAAGAAATATATGATGTTAATACCTGTACATTAAAGTTGAGATTATATACCAAAAGCCAGCACCATTTGGACCAGGTACTATATAAAAATTTCAAATGTATTCTAGTGAATATATATATATTATAAAATACTCACTAGTTGGACCATCACGACAACACAATGGTTTATGACAATCTGCTTGCGTACCAGGTTTATAAGCAAAGTCCACATGAATATCAGATAGATGAAGAACTTTGAGTTTAGGTGATCCAGACTATATATATATATAATAAGAATTAGAAAAGTAGATACATATCATATCTTATCAATTTATTTCGTATTAGTCTGTATAATGTTTTATTCTTTTATCTTTTAATTGTACTATCATTGGTAAATTCTGACTATTTATTTAATTTAATGGTATCAACAACTCACAGCAGGAGGTTGTGGTGGTCGTGGAGATGGTTTTGAACCAGGTATTGTAACATTCCATCGTAGAATAGGAAAATCTTTTTGATCTTCACAATCAAAAGCAAGTGCACATAGTTCTTTGTTAGTAAGTGGAGACATAGAAAATATTTCAATTGCAGCGTCCTATTTGAATATAAATTGTGTATTAAATATAAAAATATATATTATTCACCTTATATTCTAGTACAGCTCCGACACAAACTTCAATATTAAGAAAAAGTTGAATATCTTTACATAAAGCAATTGTAACATTTTCTACATGAATTGTTTCATTAATTTCGATGAGAAATCGAATCTTAGAAGAAAAAGAAATGGAATTGAAATATGTTAATATACATCATACTTACAGCAGGTACAAATAGATGACAAAATTCACAATAGGGTGGAGTAAGTTTTTCGCTGAGTGCCCATCGAAGTTTTTTAAAATTCGGTGAATGTTCAAAGCGATGACGATAGCTAGCAATAGTAGCCGATAGTTGTTTTTTCTCAACTATACGATTTTGTATTAATAGTTCAACATCAGAATTGTTTTGAATCGAACGAGTATCAACTGTTGAAAGTGCAGCAAAGAAGAAAAATAGAACAATGTGCGTAAAACACACCATTGATGAAAAGTTAAAAAAGTAACAAGGTATATCTAGTAAAGACTAAGAATAAAAATGTTTGCTTCTTATCTAGATTTTCTTATCCATATCTTTTTAGGTATCATTTATATACACCATTTTCTTCATTATCTGATCTACATTCCTAGTCAACAAATAATATCATTAAAAAGATGAAATTCTAATGTCTTACGAAAATGAAACAAGCATGTAATATAATGTGATCATATTCGCATATTGTTTTTTTAAAATTAAGAGTGTATTTATGGAAAATCAATATCACATATTTTGTTTATGGACTTGATTTTATCGTCATCACCACATAAAAAATGTTTATGATCTAACATTGTCAAGACAATCAAAAAAATATTTTTTTTATATTACGTTATTGACGATAGTGGAAGACGCTAAAGATAAAGATAAATATGAGTTTTTATCGTTTTTATTTATCTTATGCGAAACATGTTGAGTTTTTAGACAAATGAGATTTAATTCGTATGATAGTAGTTATGTTTTGACGTCACCACAGGGTATAAAACGGAAGTATATAAATCGACGACTAGCTGTTCATGACTTCGGGTCATTTGATGTCAATGTTGACATTATTTTTCTTTGATTATCATATTGTTGTATATAATTTGTGTTATGTCTCGAATAAAAGATATATGATGAACAATATTCAAGTAACGGTACTTAGAGTTAGTCATTACTTTTATCATCATCTAACCAATGTAGGTTATATTTGAATCATGACGTCAATATACCTTTAATACATAGAAAATAAAGATCAATCGGAAACTAGCGAATATGTTGACTCTGATACCGAGAGTCTTATGGAAGTTTTCAATGATGAAAATGCTTTTTCACTCTATCGTTCAATTTGAGTTTCAAGAGTGTGGAAAAAGTCAAATTACAACTTGATTATTATGACTATATAATATTGGGATTTACTAATATTTGATTGATTGTATTCAAAAATTAAGTTATATCTTCAGAATTAGAGGTTTATACTGATGATGACAGCAATTAACATGCAGAAAAAGTTCTGAGAATCCATTTAATTTCATTTTTCTGTTGTCAATACAAAGAATGAAACATATTTTCTGCTGCATTATATTCATTATTTTTTCTCTGAATTCAGGAGTTTCTGCCAGTCTTTTTCTCTCTCGCGTTGTTATTGACTCTCACTACACTTTTCACATGTGTTACTCATCAAAATGCAGTTCTCTATACGATACTCACCTGCTGCAGTAGTAAATGAAATGTCCTTTTTCCTCTCTTTCTATCTCTCGTTGTCTGAACTATATAATAATGACTTCTGTCTGAGTGAGAGTTTATGTTAGTGGAATATAGAAGTGAAAAAGGTAATTAGAAGTAAGAACACAACATATTAACATTATTTTGCTCGCAAATTGTATTACATCAATTTTCTTGTTTTCTATTGCTTGTAAAGTGAGTGTTTATATCAATATAGAAAAATAGAAAAAAACTGATGCTAACTCAACAGAAGCAGCATAAATTTAGATATAGTATATAGCCGTCATAGGATATTTCCTGTTGTATTGTAGTATTTAGCCCTATGACTAGATATGTACAAAATTCAAATTGTTTCGAACTTTGCCTATTAGGTTTGGGTGTTGGATTTAGTTGAAGGTTTGAATATTCAATTAGCGTTTAGATGTTGAGGGTGTTGTTGTGGGTTTGGCTTCTGATGTACATTCAGCTAGAGTTTGAGTGTTGAAGTTGGGCTTAGGGATGTATGGTGTCCGTGCAAATACTGAAAAAGCTGGCACTGAAGCGCTGACGAGCTTGGTGCACCGACGTTTACCAATATGGCAATATATATTTATATCTGTAAACGTCGGCGTACCGACATCGTCCTTGCCTCGGTGCATTGCAGTGTCAGTGGTATCAGTGATCAATAAACTGACACCGCACATCTAGGCATGAGCGATATCACATCGGAATTGGTACTGAAATCGGGAATTGGCAAGTCTGATTCCGATCCCGATGCGATACTTAAAAAATCAGATCTTATTTCAATCCGATTCCGATCTCAAGATACAAAAATTTTGGTATCAGTGCCATTTCTGGTTATATTGTCCTAAAAAATAAAATCTTAAATTAAGTGTTCCGGATTTGAATGATTTCAAAGCATTACAACAATTATAAAAAAAATAAGAATCTAATAATTAATAATAACAATCGAATGCTTTTCATATAAACGAAAAAAACTCATATCATACAAAATGCAGAGAATCTTAACATAGTTGATTTCGATGCCGATCCTTAGAATTCATTTTCACAATTCCAATACGATTCTAATAAAGCTTATTACCAGTTCCGATCCGATTCTAAATGTGAAAAAACCAAATTTTTCGACTCCGATACGATACTAAAAATAAAAAAATCGGAATTTCCTCATGCCTACGCACATATCTAGTTGGGCTTGAGTTTTAGTTTAGTTTTCAGTTCCAGTTTTCAGTTTGAGCATTATTCAGACATTTTTGTATTAATAGAGCCTGATGCTGTTAACGCACTGTATGTACGGTGTACCGTAGTATCTATACAATAGTATATTATATTTTAATCTGAGTTTAGAAGTAAAAAATATACTATATGTCGAGTAGGCGACTAGGGAAACTAAAAAACTAGTTTGTAAAATTTTGAGGATGTAGGTGTGCATCTCTTTCTTAACCTATTCAACTCATAATCACAATCTCGTTTAACATATAATAATTCAATCTGTCTTCATCTATTCTAGGGAAACACGGTTTTTGAAAGGTATTTATATTAGAAGTGAAATATCCAGGTTATTTTTCTCTCAAATAACAAAAGTAAAATAACAATGTAACTAAGAAATGAAGTGTCATTTCTCATTTAGATACAAATGACTAATATCCGCAATGTAGAATTGCACTTAGAAAATGAGATGAAAAATATTATTTGATTTCAATTTATTCTGTTACTAATCTATACGTCAGTATGAATTAGCTACATCATTTATGATATCAGTTCGGAAATTTTATTTTTGTTTCGAATTAATTAATACTTTTATCATAATTAAAAACATAGGATGCAACCTGAAAAAAAGAGAAACTATGGAGCTGTCATTTTTATACGCCTTTTATTTTATCAAATGATCAAGTCATATTCAGTCATTGTATAAGATACAAATGCATATGATGTTGTCTGGTATCGTTCTACTCTTTATTTATCTGTGTATTTTGCCGAATCCAGTTATATCATATATAAAGCAGGCAAATAGTTATGATCTCTATGGACAAAAGATTTCTATGAATGATCAACTGATTGTTTATGCTAACAATGTGTATTTGGAATATATCCTATTTCTTGCTCCATTTTCTACTTCACAACTCTGTATAGTTAATATTACTGATTTGGGTACTAATAATATTCAATGTGATTTTGTCTACAGTGTTATTACATCAAAGAATCAAACAACATTACCTTATTTTGTTTATAATTGTATCGATATTCAAAATCGTATGGTGATTGGTCGTATTGAATTTATTAATAATGGAACATTGTGTGCATATAAACATAGAAATTCGTTGATAGGTAGTAATTATTCAATACAAGATAATTTTGTGATTGGTATCGATGCTCAGAATGAGGGTGTATATGCTTTCACTGATGATTTTATTGCCTATTATGATTTTCAATCATGGAATATGACTGTCTGGCCAAAAACACTACCTATTTCACCTCGTGTAATCGATTTTACTAACGATTATGGTGTACTAGCTGGTTATTGTCAAGATACACCATCGCAGGCATTCGAATGTGCCATGGTTGTATTCGGCAGTGGATCCTCATCGAGCCCATCGCATGGAAGTCGTTTTTCTATTGGAAATTCATTAAATTTTTCATGGGCTGACCTACGAAGTACTCACTTTGTTGCCACTGCTCGAGTTTATTCAACTACAAATCTGATGTCAGTTAGTATTTCTACGATTGCTAATCGTGTGCTAATTGGTATTCGAGCACTTAATGTGGCTCTACTATATGTTGTTAATGATCCGACTACTCCCAATACAATTTATCCAGTGAGTACTCGTCAGACTGGTATGAATAGAATGGGATTCGGTCGAAGTATCGTTTGGCTTGATAATCAAGGTAGAAAAGCAGCTATTCTTGCCAATCAATATACTTATACCACAAATGAATGGATAT